TGATTGTTCGGGTGCGTGGTAAATTGGCACAAGAAATGATGACACTAAATACAATGGCACAGGTAAAATGGCACACTGGCTTGTACAAGTTCAGTAGTGTCCAGACAACAAAGCCCCCTGTACCACCGACTACAGATTTCCCGAAATAATACGATTATTTCGTTGCCGTCTGTTTTTGTTCTATAATTCAATGTTTAACGGGCGGCAGTCATAGTATGGGACTCATAGCTACGTATACAACGCGTGTAAAATACATTGTTTATTTACATGAAATTCGAACACGCGCTGCTCGACGGCCACCGCCTTTTAACGTTCGTGTCAATTGAATTCAAGAGGGCGCTATTACACCAATGAAGGCCAAAGCAAACATTCAAATAAAATTCACATATGAAGGACACCTTGGTAACATAAATGTTCAGTACATTATCCCAAGCAACTAAACCTGAACGGAACTAGCTCGTGAATTTCCATGGTCGAAAACAATGCTAATATTCCTTATTGAAAGGATTGTTATGTACCTGAAGTCGGATGTTGGAGTTCATTCAATATCCTGTATAGACAGTGAAGGATTATCATTCTGGAGTTAAAAATATGAAATATGGATGATATTTTTTAATATTGTTGTTCGACACACTCCATACTGTAGACCAAATCGGATTATGATTTACGATAAACTAAAAATGCTGCGTTTGCAAAGACACACAAAAGTATTCGCTAGACGAAAATGAAATGATTGTTATTCTAAGTACCAAAAACAACCAGTGCGCATGCGTATTAAAGAATTTCAATGTTTAATCATAGACCCTCTAAAAGGGGTCTATGGTTTAATCGAACGACAAGAATAGTGTTTTCATTTCATGATAAGTCGTAGTCCAATGATATTCATCACGTGACCACGTAACATAAAACAACAATACTGAAAATCAATTCTTCTCCAATAATAACATGCCATGCATCAAATCTGTCTACCAACACCCACCATACATGCTTAAACAATCTGAACTGAAAGAATTGAACACGTGTGTATCAATGATCGACTCCCCAGTCAGGGTGACAGGAAGATTTGTTGAGAACAATTGTGAGCTGCGTATTGAGAGAGGAAAAATACTAGCAAGATGTTGTTCAAGAAAAAGAAAACTGTTCAGATAAGCCACCATGAAAAGTAAATTTGCACTTCTCACATTCTACCCCATGGTTTATAATAGTTAATAATTAATCATTTGAAATACACCGGCGCAAAAATCGAACTTTTTATGGATAAAAATACTAATATAGTGTACATATGTGATGGTGTAGTGTGAAGTAGGCATACAATGACACTGATCTAATCATGGACCTCATAAGGTCGATGGATAAATCAATGCCACTTCACGGAAATCCATGAAACAATTGTTATTTTCAGACATGGGATTGAGCGAGCGAGGTCGGATACACGTATTCACCGCCAATAAAGAATGTCCTTCAATTGACTTCGCTGATGGTCACGTTACTGCAAAATACTAATTTAGAGTTTGCAGTAGAAAGGGAAGGGTTGGTTTTTCATATGATCAGTCGTAAGACCGTCATTGATGTGTTTTTTTACTCGTATTTTTTCCCCGTAAAATTCACTCTCAGAGATGGAACAAATCGTATATTATATCAGTGGATACAACATACATGGCACATAACTTGTTGTAAGCTTTTAAAAACAACCACGGTGATCTAATAACTACAGTCCACCAACCCTTTAGGTACTGTACAATGACATATCACATGACACAGCTTTCCTATAAATAGCGCCCTCAATTGATGCAATGCTTCTGTAACATCAAAATGACGTGTATGGGTGAAGGCAAATCGACCACTGTGTTTGGTTGTTCGTCATATAAAAAGCATAATTACTCAAAACATATTCATTGATGAACGTCAACAGATCAAAACGATATCGACTCTTTGATCGACCTTCGCGTCACCCATTCGCACTATGCCACCACAGGGAGCCCAGGAACTATAATCAACTGTAATACGCAGTCTCTATGAGCGGGGGGGGGGGGGGGTATCGGCTGGTATCTAGTGTAAGAAATATTTCCTGGGCTCCCTGTGATGCCACTAGAAGGCACAATTTATAGGGCAGGTGCCACACGACAACAAACTTGGTGAACTGTACACGAATTGATAATGGCACATCTACATTGATACACAGTCTATAGTTATTCACTGTACTTTATTGAATACAAACGTGGGTTCTTGTCAATGGTAGCAGGTATTCACTGGAAACAGAAAAGTGCAACAATACATTTGCACAATTACAATTCTCATAAAAAATAAACTAGTAATACAATAATGCTGATGTTGATGACTATTTTATAGACTAAACAAATAAGAATACACACCAATGCTTGAAAAAACAAACACCAGTATATCAAAAACAAGCAACTGCCAATAAACAGTGCTACTCGCAGAGAAAACCCGAGTACAATGTTTTATAAAAGTTGCACTATTTAGTTACGCATATCATAGCCCAGGTAAATTAGCATATTTTTGCAGCGATAATGTTTTAGCAAATCATAGCAAAATCAGCGATTACACTTCAGTTTGAGAAAGTCTGAAGAAAACTACAATTTGATTCACTTGGAAAATTAGTATTTTGTGCCATTTTTCGGAGCTGCAAAACAGTTTGAAAACTCATGTGTAAATCAAAAATTAAATACCATGAAAATCAAAGAGTTAAAATAAAAGCCTTATTTTAAGATTTTGCGATATAAGGAATTTACAAGTAATGAGAAACATTTTCCCTGGTTGTTGAACCAAGCTGTGAATGAGTATAATCACTCAACAAGGTAAAGAACAGCTGTTGACAGCACTGCATAAAACATTAATTGTACAAATATGAAGACGCATTATAACGATAAAATAAACAGAATTAGGTTCCCCAACACTACTGTTAACAAGTGACAATTGTTGTCATGATTGGCTCAAACCTTTTTTTGTACTTTGATTGAGAGAAACTGAATGAAATGTAAGCAAGTCAAGACAGAGGTGTGGGTTGGGAGTACTGAGTTCTCTGTCATGTCACAAGCAGTATACTACATCAGACCTCGGGATAATATAAAATGAAAATAAAACCTGAAAATATAATGCACACTGTCATACTAGTACATGTATTACTTGAAAAAACCTTGCTTAACTGTTTAAACTGAAAATCGACTGAACCAGAACACCTGAGCTGAACCCCATTATTCCCATTATAGTTTTGTGATTTAACTAGGAGGTTCACATTGAGCAATTTAACAAAATAACCTAGTACAGTCAGTATAATACTAACTGAGCATTCAAAGCTACATATAGTAATATAAATAATATGTTAATCAAATTCAACATAAGAACAATATTTCATTGGATTGTAAAAATGAAATCAATATGAAAAATAAATATCCTGCAGCACATGCAGGAAATTGAATTCTGTACATGAAATGGTTAGATTTTACAATACTTTTACACAGTTAACTGAAATTGGTGCCAATCTATTACTATGTCGCCACCCAGTGGCAACACAAATGAATACTTTTGTTTTTTTCTAAGATGACAGAAGTTCAGCAAAGTTTGATGCCGAGAAACAATAGTAAAATGGAAAACGTACAATACAAAAATCAATGGCAGAATAATTTTTCCTGCCTGTATGTAACCAAATGCAAAGTCATTTGAGGAGAACACAGTGTCAAAGTGTTCAAATTGCATCGCATGTAGATAGATAAAGCTCTTCTTAAATTCCATGGAAACCAGCCTCAACTAAAACAATAATAAAACATTATCAAATATTTTTGAGCAATTTTTTTCTTGACTCAAGAGTTGACAGGGAATATATTACATAATAAAAATACAAGTCGTTCATTTGTCTTCCCACTATATACATATATTATCTTGAAAACCCTTGGTATCCAAGCTTGACAATGATTACTTTGTTATGATAGTTCATCACAATATGGACAATCCAACCAGCAATATATTTTTTTTATCTAATAAAATTTATTATTTACTGCCAGAGTTTGCCAGGCAAAATTCATGATACCTATTTTATTTTTTACACATTATATGGAACATTAAAGTAAGACTTATTCTGATCATAGAGATACCCTTCGAATAAATACCGCAAGTAAATGTTGTACCAAAGGATGGAATCCAGCACTTGGGTCTGGTGAAGACTGACATGACATAGGAAGAAGGTGTTGGAAGAGTTGCAAATTGATGACAAAAATTTTGTTTTTTGGAAACAAAATTGTAATTAGATAGATGGATAGATAGATATATGTGTTTATGGAGATAGTCCCCACCCTTAATCTAGTCTCAAAAATTTTTGTTTTTTGTTGTGTGATCTGTTACAAATTTTTATAGGACAAAAAGGTAGGTTGGTAGGAATACTTTTATTTTTGTGTTCATCTGGGGAGTGGTTCAAAAGTTTGTCTTTTTTTTTACAAAATGTGTTGTTATTATGCCTTGAAGAAATGAGACAAACTGTAAGTACACAGGGGATAAAACCACATATCTTTCAGCGAAAGGGTTAGGTTACCATTCTACATTATTTGGAAACGCATGAAAAAAACGGGGCTAATCAACCAGTACATACGTGTACTGGAATACAAATGACACCCCTTCTCTATCTAGAAATTTATACCAGGTAAGTAATTATATACATACATTTACCGGTACCTTCTTTAACAAAAATATTACAAAACTTTTGAAATCACTGAAACTTTTGTCATTTTCTTTAAATTAAATTTTACAAAACAAATGAGTAGTACTGAAGGTCAAATAAATATAAACTGACAATGAAAAAGTAGATGTAGTTCACAAAAAGGATAATTTCACCCTATTTAAGAATACTCCAAGGTAAGAAGACTGACTTATAAATATTGAGTGAAGAAAATTACAAATGGAATAGATGGTTACCAGCAACTATGCTAAATACCAATGTTAATGGAAAGTTCACTGTGGATACGGGAATATAAAATTAAATAAAAATACATTCTAGTTCAATATGACATTGTAAGATAGGCTTGCCACAACAGGGTTTACCCTGATCAATGTATGTTCAAACCCTTCCCAACAGTCAATGTATTTTACCACAATGCTGCTTCTTTCTTCCCGAGTATGCCAACCCCGCTTTTTCTTTTCTCCTTTTTCTCTTTCTTTCCCTCTAGCCCTTTCCGACTGTCAATGGAATCGCGCATTCCCATTCGATAATGTACGTCTGATTTTGTCTGACCCATCATTGGGGAGTTTCTTGCACTTATAACATTTCCATTCGGTGCAATTGACTGGTGGTCATGTCGACCTGATGTTCTTAATCGCCTTTCATCCTGGGGGTGGAGGAAGTCACGTCCTTGTGGTGTGACAACGCTTATCGATAACTGACCATGGCTTTCCATTATATGTTTCACCACATCGTCATGTTTTGCCCACTTCACATCTTTCTCACCAATCTTGACAATGAAATCGCCTTCTTTGATCCCGCTTCTCTGCAAATTGAAACATAAAATAAAATACAGGAAACAGCACAAAAAATAATTGCTAATTCTGTACTTTTTGTAGAGCCTCACAAAGCTGTATGATTGAATATTCTTGAGTGACAGAATTTCAAAATAGTGACTTATACTCGTAGAGTATTCATGGAGTAATAAAAGAATGTAGACATCTCTCATTTCTGTGCTCATTGATCCCCAGATAAGAGTACCTACTACAATACTGACTACCAACGATTTGACATAAACTCACCTGAGCAGCCCCGTCTTCGTCTAAACTCGCTACAATAACAGGTGAATCCCCTCGTACTGTGAATCCAAATCCGTTTTCAGTCCTCTCCATTTCTACCTTTCTGGGGGCACTCCACCTGTGTTTTGCAGAAAAAATCGCCAGAGGACCCTGTGAAATAGATTCACAGAACCAATTATGTTACACATATGTTAGAGATGTGCACACTCAGTGTCAATATATTGCCAATGACCAACAATTTTGTAGTTTTGCACACATGGAGGAGAATACTGACAATAATGATGCCAATGACACTGGAAGGAGCAAAATGCCACCTGTTTTTGATAGAAATGATTGGATGACAGATCTAACAAATGGAGACCATACTGCATATACTCACCAGTCTATGGAATATGTCCATAACTTTGACTTGACTGAAGTCAGGAAGTACACATTCAGCTTTTTGCGATGTAATTGCTGAGAAAAAATGAAATACATGTAATATGTATCAGACCTTAAGTATCTTTTTCTTAAGTATCTTTAACATGTTTTTTTTTTATTTTACCTCAATCAAAATGATACAAAATCACTTTCATAACTTGCTTCAGTGCTTTTAAGAGAATTATTTATCACTTGCCGGTCAAAAGGCAGAAACATTTTCAGGTATACAGAAATATACACACAAATTTTACAAATTCCTACAAGTTAGAGTAGCTTTAGGTAGACAGTAAACCACTTTAAATCAGCAGAGACGAATTTTCACCAACTCTGAGTTAGCACAAAGTGCAACATTTCACTTAAGACAGGGGAGTCACAGTTCCCAAATTTTATCTTGGCAGACATGGTGTCATGAAGGGTTTAAAAGCAATTCACCTTGGACGTCAGGAACCACAACAACATCATAGAACTCATCTTCCTCGTCTATCTCTGAATACCGAGACATTGCCCTCTCATGTGACAGTCGTAGGATACCGCCTAAAGTGTCAATTTTCCGGAGCATTTTGCTCATTCTGTGCAGCCTCATAGTTTCTTCATGTGTCATCAATGAAGCGTGTAAATGTGCTTTTGCTGAAAAATAAGATTCAGTATAAATATGAAATAAAATTCTATGAAGAGATAAATTACAAACCAAATCAAGTTACAAAAAATATTTCAAAGCTGGAAGCAAAAAACGATCACCAATATTTGCTGAAAACCATTGAAAATTGAACATTTAGTGTACATTACCCGCAATACATGCTTAATCTGATCATTGAACATTTCACATGATAATCCACCCCCTTGATATCAGAGTGCAACTTTGAGGACTATTTACTTACCCAACCTTTTGCTGTCATCGAAATTCTTTGGTATTTGCATGGGAAGATTTTCATCCGTCTTATCTGTTTTCACATGGAGTTTAGGAAACATAGCTTCCAACACAACCTGCTCACTATTATCTGTGTAAAAAGCAGACACACCACAAAGACTTGGTTACTATGAACACTGCTATTATTATAATCAGATGATCTAAAGCTAATTGTCTGCTTACTCCTTGTTTACGCAGATAAGTCGCAACGTACAGCGTGCCGTAATTTTGCAGGGGATTTTCATCCTACCATAATTAAGAAATGCGAATTCCAAATATGGAATTATGCGCCTAAGCGTCTACTAATACTAAAAACAAACATGGCTGCCACCAGAGACACCAGAGTCTGACTCCACACAGAGAAGTTCGCTGATTCTGTTCTAAACATTTTGAATTTCGGCATTCCCATGGTGTATCCTTGGAAGGAAAAGATGTATAATAATAAGGTTATTATAAAAATACCTCACAGTATGCACTCAGACAGTACGCCGCACATCGACCTCCACTTTGCGTCAATACTCCAGTTGTACTGTCTTCGTGCATACCTTGAGGTACTCTCGTAATAACCTTATAATAACGAGATGCATAAAATTAGTGAATAAAACTAACCTTTCCGACAAAGTAATCCAACTCCAACGTAGAAATGTGACATAGCCTTGTAATGTTCTGATTTAACTAAAGCTAATGAAATCCATGAGTACGGTACATAGTCTTTTACTGTATCTGCGTTCATCGCACGATGTACTGTACCATAAGCTTTTGAAACCTAAAATTGTGAAAATAAAAACATAATTATTTTAATTTTAAGAAAACCAACTAATGCAACAGTGATTTTAGATATTTAGATAATTTTAGACTATGCTTGGATGAATGAAATACAGTCATAACATGAACAGCACCACCAAGTGTTGAACACATCAAATACTTTTGTTCATTCGACAACATCTTTCAATTTACCTATTTCTTTGAAAGGAATGACAAATACACTTATTTCACTTACTGCTGATGCTTCCTGTGCAACTTCTAAATAATTTTTCACAGACATTTCAATTCCTCCAATGGTTCTTTTTTCAAAGACGCATTCTTGAACCTGAGCCTACATTGGGTGAAAGCAGAGGAAATGTCAAGTCCATGAAAATAAAAAAATGATAGGCAAGAATCAATATTCAAGAAGACAAAAAAACTCACCAGCATTAAATGCACTAGCATATTGAGTACGGCATTACTCATGTCCATACTGGGTGCATGACTGAAATTATCGCTTAAGTAACGGAATGCACCAGCAGCCTTCTGGAAATTTTCTATAGCTTTCTCTATTCCTTCTTTATGACTTCGGTCCTGTGGATAGTATGAAGAAAAAAGTTAAGATTGTGGCACTAAAATATGGTTATCCGCATAAAGTTTGTGGAATAATAAAACAAAACCTGCATTTCCTGACCTGGCCTTTTAAAAACGTTGTACCGCAGGTATTGCTCAATAAATGTGAACTAGAAATTACGTTGCAGTAAAGTGTAGTTAAAGAGGGAGTAAGTGTTTGTGTTTTTATGCCAAGGTGTTCAATCCCATAATGCAACACAACATCTTTGATGTCAATATTTTCATGATGTTTATGATTTGAAACCTAAATCAACTTTTCATTTGTACTGACAATTAACCTTTAAACAACTGAACTGCAAGGCAAATCACTATACACGTATAATAACACACTATAATGAACCGTACACACACACAATAACGCATTATAACGATGTGCGATTCGCTTTATAATATTTAACCATTCCTACCATCCTCAGTTTTTTCATATTGAAGTACACTGTACCTGTTTAGCTCCTATTTGTGTGTAAAGTGCTCCAATATTAAACAAAGCACTGCCTTTTTCAAAGGCTACTGTCCTCTGTGCAGATGGTACACCTGTCAACGAGTCATACCTAAAAGTAAAAGCACAGTCAAATTACAGGAGGAATTGTTATCTCAAATCCAGTACATCTCATTAGGAAAGAGAGAGTGCACAGTTTTGGGATGTAACTAGAATTAACATAGCACAACTATTACAACCTTGCTTATTATGACTCTAGAATAAATAAATACAAATTGTTTGGATTATTATAAGACAATTTAAGTGGATTTTCACCAATACCTTGGAAAATATACATTGAACACGTATCAAAATCAAACTTGGCAAGATGCCCAAACTGGTTAATATAATATGTAAGTGTGCACGAGATATTGTAAAACCAACAATATGTAATTAGTAAAATTAGTAACAAGTAGAAACTATAAAAAGCTACAATTTCTTGATACTTTGCTGAGCAATAATTAAATCGAATAAATGATAGTGATCAAAATAAAAAAAAAAAAAAAGATGGGGTACATGAGGTTGTTTCCATGGAAACAGTGGCTGACTTTTCTATAGAGCCAAGTCCTACTAGATGAATGAAAACATTATTTCAGATATCCCAAATTATTTTCTTCTCACTTTCAAATATCCAGGAACAGGGATAATAACTTGACAAAATGCAAGAAAATTCCTGTCATGGAAAAAATGTCAGCTGTTTCCATTCTTAGCCTTTTCACCACCAGACTTTTTCACCCAAATTTTTCTGCATTTTTATATTCTTCAATATTTCTGGAAATGAATCCTAATTTAAGAGCTAACAAACAAAACTTGAGTCAATTTTAAGTTTTCACTCAAAAAATTTGGCTATTTTTGCCCCTATCTTCTGAAGGAAAGTACAGACTATTTTTGGGACTATTTTTGAATTTGTGATGAAAAGAGGGAACTGTTGGTGAAAAGTTTAAGAATACTATCAGTACACTTGACCAGCCATATAGAAAAGTATTTGCTTAATATATGGGAGTGCATACTTTCTACACTAATCATGATTTATGAGGTATTTACTAGTTGACTCAATAGACTGAATAGGTGATTTTCCATTTAATTGCGAGATATCGCGAGTTGCAAGAAAGACGCGCACCAAATGCTTGCCACAAAAATCGAACGATTTGATTTTTAACTTGAATTTCTCTATTTTGTAGCTCACATCGAAAGGCCGATCTTTGACAGGGGAATATTGCATTTGAATACCTTTACTTTATTGAAATTGATCATCAGCACATTACTATCCCACGCGATGTTTGACGCCACTATGGCGCTATGATCTTTGTTTGTCCTGTTTTTACGTTTGATTTCACGCATAACGCGGGATCTCGCAGTGAACTGAGAATGGTCTATTGCAAGAATATGCAGGTAGCACCTGATTTCAACAACGCTATTTTGTACATACCAGTGAAAGTATACTCCAAGATGTCTATCTGTTGGGAAAAACCTATTTTCTACAAAATAAAGTTGATTGTAATATTCATAGAGTAGTTCTAACCCTTCTTCATTTCTTCTGGGTGTCCTCATAGCCTGCAAAGAACACATTGGGCAATTACTAACAGTGAATTTCTCCTGCACATTCCACCACTAGTAAAGTTAAAGGAAACATCAAGTCAAACAACATAATGACCCCTCAAGAAAAAGCTCCACAAATGTAGGGGAATGCAATTTACAGTTTTTTTATATCACTTTTCATTCTCTAGATATTCAACTTTTCAACAGTATTATATAGTCAGCCATCTTGATTTTCAAGCAAAGAATTATGGGTAAAGTATGACATCATAGAATCTTTAGATATGGGTCACTGAATATATGTATACTAATCACAGTATAAAATTTCCATACACCTGACCTGACCTTAAAACTAATGCCAAAATACGTAATTTTGTAGTAAAAAAACATTAAATTGCAGACAGCTAATAATAATGACATAATGGCAGCCATCTTGATTTGTCATATGTATGTGTTTATGGTCGCAATTATTTTAAACTTTATTCAAAAAGTAATTATTGTATAAAATGCATATTTTTGAGAGAATCAAAATGCAGCAAATATACCTTTTTTCCAATATTTGACATTCAATTTATC